GTATCATCAATCATAATGACATAGGCGAATATGAAATAAGAAACAAATATATATACATTGTTTTTAATTATTTTCTATATTTTCATAGAAATTACAATTAAGACCATTGCATTTGGTAATGAACACAAGTTCTTTTTTTCTCATATTACATAGTACAAAAAAAAAAAAAACATTATTTTTTTCTTTTAAGAAATTTAATTAATGAATAAATTAGAATTGATCGTATTGAAAAATATTCATGTCATATAATTGATCGGACAGTTCGTCGCACAGACAAAATGTTGCAACATTATTATACTACAATAACATGTAGGAATCATAAAAAAAGTCAAGAAAATACTAGGAAAAAAAAGAAGATTTTTCAACAAGTACATCCAAAGAAATCTTTCCTAAGACTCTATTGAAATACCTAGACAAGAGAAAATTTTTCAAAAAATATTTGTATTTCATTGACGACATTATTTCGTGAAGCTCACATTTAATTTTGGAGAAAATAATGAGTGTAAATTTTAAGTTGAAGTTTTGCGACTCTTCCCATTACAGATCTTAGCAACCGCTTCTGCTTGAAAATTTTTTTTTTTGTCAGATTTTCTCTGTTGATTGCACATCGTAGAATTCTCAAAGGAATATCATTGCAGTCAATTGCTTTTCTTCTTGTTGGAGAAAATATGCGAAACTATAGTGTCTAGTGTAGGTCATTTTTTGAATTAAGCATTTTTATTGTTATATAAAAAAAAATTACTTCTATAAATAGATGAGGATTTTTCAAGAGTATTTTAAGATATTGAACTTATCATCTGTTTTTTTTTACTTTGCATAAGAAGAAGTAAGAGTTTTAAACAACGTATTCTGCGAAATGCTGCAGTCTGTCATACTATATAATTAGTTAATGATAAATATATATATTGCAATATTTTTGTCTTACAACAAATAGTCTTAGCATCTCAATGATTTGCATATACTTTTTTGTTATTTTTTAACAATATTAAAATATTTAAAGAATTGTAGAAAAAAGAATAAATGTATTAAAATAACAGTTGGATTTATTATCGTAATACCAATATGAGAGCAAGATCTACTACTGTTCTATTTTTTGTTTCGTTCGTTCTCTTGTTCTGTCTATCAATCGTTATGAATTTGACAATGATGAAATCGAACAGAAAATAATTGATAACAAGTGTATGTAGAAAAACTAGACAAAACAATTTCTCTATTATATATATATATATACAATGGTAAATTCTTGAGAATATTAACATAAAAAGTCTTTCATATAGATTTGTCTAACATCTGTTATAGTTTCGATTAATAAGTTTTCTGTTTATCGATAATTCATAAAGACCTTGTCTATAATTGCTCAATAGATGTACCTAACAAGATGAATTTTAAATCTTTTAAAATTGAGCTCAATCAAATATGTGCATATTCTAATATCTTGTCCTATTCATTTTCTCTCTCTCGCTCTATTGCATAATTTTGATCCATGAACATTTACAAGGGCTATGATAGAAATTTGAGTTCATTTGCAAATGATTAAAAAAAAACGAAATTACGTGAGAACATGATTTTATTTTTTTTTTCTACATCTTCTAATCCCTTCCTTATCATCACTTTTATTACTACCACCTTTCTTTGTCTGTCCTATTCGTTGAGTAATCTGTTCGCCCTCATGTACACACCCCCTACCTATCTATAACAGTCATTACTGATTGCTTTTATTTCATGACTGTCATATGTAGAGGCGATGGCGTATCATCATACACTCACTAATTCCTTTTTTTACAAGGCAACATGACAATGGTGATGATCATGTTTTAGTCCTTCTTCTCTCATTCGTCTTTGCTCATTACTCAATTCAACATATGACATTGTGTGAAAACGAAAAGAAAAAGAAAAAAGAGAAAAATAAATAGTACCATACCACAATTTTATGCAATTGATCATATTACTATTGAACTATAAGATATCTGACCACAATCAATACTTGTCGTACAATTATTGTGAAGAATGGTAAGTGTTCTAAATAGATGTAGATTTTATTAGTGATCTAATTAGTAGAATAGTTTCATAGAAATACTTATATTAAATAAAAATCAATCTTATTACTTCTTACTGAACGAACATTTTGGAAGATGATGTTGTGATGTTTCGTTTTTTTTTTCTATTAAAAGAAATCTATGATGAATATCGAATGTAAAAAAAAAATGTTAGTTTTCGATGTTTTATGTAGTTAACATATGACATCCAAAGATTTGAAGATGAAGGACATTTAATTAGAATTCTATAGTTGGCTTCCCTATCAATCGATTATTTAAATCTGTTTTTAAATAGTTTTGATATCTGATTTTTTTTTTTGTTATCATGAACTAGAAGTGATATGATAATACAGTTTTAATCCCATGTCCCTCAAATTGTCCTTTGTAAAATTGAAATTACAATAAAAAGAAGACAAAGAAGAGCATATTGATCAAGGTTTTTGTTATTCTCATGTTGAATGTTTATGCAGAGCAAAAAGAAAAAAAAAGTCGAAATAAGAACAAGGAAGAGAATACACCTTCAACTTTGAAACAAACAACATACGGATAGACTAAGGAGTAAATAGCAATCTGTTGCAAATATATATATACGTAAGCATTGGATATATATAAAAAAAAAAAAGCGGATAAACGTTAATTTATTAAATTCCTTTTTTTGCTGATGACATTGTATATTGTCAAAATATGGTAAGTAAAAATTCGTTTGTTATTATATATTTTATAAAAGAATAATTTTCTTCTTTAGATCATTCATCGGTTATCATTGTTCACTATTTATATTATTTCATTTACTCTTGCTAATCCAACTAATTTTACTGCAAAACATCGTAAAACATTAGGTATACAGTCTACTATTTTCAAATAAAAAAGAATAAAATGAATAAATATGTGTATTTTAGATGATTCATCATCAGTAAGTGGTCGATCGGCTATTTCAATTATTGAAGAAGATAAACGATGTTTTGCATGTCCAATTATTCCCGATACAGGCATTCAAAGTCGATGTATTGTACCTTGTCATTATAATCAAAGATGTTATTTGAAAGCTTTTCATGCTAATGCTACACGTAATAATGAATGAAATAATTTTGAAACAAAAAAAAAAAACAACAGTCATTTGTTTTTTTTTTTTTTGAAGTCACTGATCGCCGTTGTACTGATGAACGATGGGTACGTGATTTACTTGTCGATGGTTGTCTTACATACAATGGTCAATATTGGTGTATGTGTTCAACTGATTTATGTAATTCCGGTGATTTTACATCCATTCGTGGTATGTAAAACATGAAAGTTTTCTTTTCTTTTTTTTTTGTTTTAAATATATTATCGAAAATTTCTATTTTTAAATTAGGTTATGATGATTGTTCAAGTGATCCATGTCCATGGGGTACAATATGTCTTGATACGAAAGATGGATTTAGTTGTATATGTCCACCATGGCAAGATGATTGCACTTATGGTATGAAATTATTTTAATATTGCAAGAATATGATTAGTAGCTGTGTTTTCTTTGTATTCTCTCTTGTAGCTTTTAACATTGGTTGTTCTTGTAAGAATGGTGGTCGATGTATTATGGGTCTTGGATCTTATATATGTGAATGTCCATATGGTTATAATGGATTAAGTTGTGAAACAAGTAAGTTCGTAAAGAACATGAAAAAAGAAAGAACAAAATTAAGTTCATTGTAAATAGAACATCAATTTTATATATGAAACTTATAAGAAAAAAAGACATGCTTGATATATATTTTGATTGATGTTTTTTCTATTATCAAATAGGAGATATATGTATTCCAAATCCATGTATGAATGGTGGTACATGCCAATCACAAGGCTTACTTAGTTTTACATGTCAATGTCGACCAGGATTTCAAGGACTTACTTGTCAGATATGTAAGTATTTAAATCCTACAAAGATTATTTGCTTGTAGGTTAGGCATTGACATATGTTATTTATATTAGGCGATGCTTGTATTCCGAATCCTTGCCAAAATGGCGGAACGTGCATTTTTGATGAAGCAACAGGATACTTTCGATGTTCTTGTCCACCGGGATATACAGGTCGTACGTGTGATATTGGTAAGTTTAATCAATAAGATTATTATAAATATGATACAAATGAATGAATTCTAGGCACCACAGTAACTGTTCCTCCTCTTAATCCATGTTCGCCAAATCCTTGTCAGAATGGAGGTACATGTCAACCAACTAATACAGGAAGTTTTACATGTTCATGTCCTGCTGGCTACCAAGGAGTTTGTTGTGAAATTCGTGAGTTATACAATAAAAAAAAGAAACTAACTTTTTTTTTCTTCTCATTAATTGTTTACAATAATAGGTTCAGATCCTTGCTCGCCAAATCCGTGCCGAAATGGGGGTACATGTCAACCAACGAATACAGGAAGTTTCATGTGTTTATGTCCGACTGGATTTCAAGGAATTTGTTGTGAAACTCGTAAGTTATACAAAAAAAAAACAGAATAGTTTTTGTCATTTATTATGCATAATAATAATAGGCATAGATCCATGTTCGCCAAACCCATGTCAAAATAATGGTATCTGTACAGCAAGTGGAATGTCTATTGTTTGTACATGTTCGACTGGATTTACTGGACAACGTTGTGAAACACGTATGTATTTATGATAAATATCGAAATTAACATTTTCTACATGAATTATGCTAGGTGATCCTTGTGCACAAAATCCTTGCCTTAATGGTGGTCAATGTGTGTCAAATGGAATGGGTGGATTTACATGTATGTGTCCAAATCCATATACTGGTCAACGATGTGAAGATCGTAAGCAAGAAGAAGAAAAATTAAGTTTATTTATAAAGGGTTGTTTTTTTTCTTTGTGTTCTGTTAGGTATTGATCCTTGTGCTAGTCAACCATGTCGAAATGGGGGTACTTGTCAACCTGGAAATGGTAATTCATATCAATGTATTTGTCCACCTGGTTACTCAGGTTTTGATTGTTCAACACGTAAGTTATTTTTCTTTTTCTGTTTTTTTGTTTAATCAAACAGAAAAGAATGACATGATATACGATAATATAGGTGATCCATGTGCAGATAATCCTTGTTTGAACGGAGGATCTTGTATGACGAATGGTTTCGGAGGATTTACTTGTCAATGTCCACCGGGATTTAGTGGTCAACGATGTGAAAATCGTAAGATATTCAAATATTTATACATTTAATGTTTAATCTCTCGTGCCTATATTAGGTGATCCTTGTGCATCTCAACCCTGTATGAATCAAGGCAGCTGTATGCGAGATAATGGTGGTTTTCGTTGTATCTGTCCACCAGGATATTCTGGAAGTCGATGTGAAATCCGAGATGCATGTCAACCAAATCCTTGTATGAATGGAGGAGCATGTCGACCTGTAAATGGAAATGGTGGATATCAATGTATGTGTCCAACTGGTTTTACGGGTCCACGTTGTGAAACAAGTAAGTAAATGAGATTATTATTTTAGAATTTAAAGAGAGAAAAACATTCTATCGTGAAGAAACTTTATATTAAAACTGATAATGTATTCTTTTTAGGAGATTCTTGTAATCCAAATCCTTGTTTGAATGGAGGCACCTGTATGGCAAATGGATTCGGCGGATTTACTTGTCAATGTCTACCGGGATTTAGTGGTCAACGATGTGAAGATCGTAAGATATTGAAATATTTATACGTTTAATGTTTAATCTCTCGTGCCTATATTAGGTGATCCTTGTGCATCTCAACCCTGTATGAATCAAGGCAGCTGTATGCGAGATAATGGTGGTTTTCGTTGTATTTGTCCACCAGGATATGCTGGAAGTCGATGTGAAATTCGTGATGCATGTCAACCAAATCCTTGCATGAATGGAGGAGCATGCCAACCTACAAATGGAAATGGTGGATATCAATGTATGTGCCCAGCTGGTTTTACGGGTCCACGTTGTGAAACAAGTATGTTCATCTACTCAAAAAAAAAGAAACGTCTTATCTTCTTAAGCTACTGCATGACTGATAGATGATGAAGATGCCGTACATCATCAAGATCAAAGTAAAAAGGTTATTGTAGTAATACTACGAACATGAGATATGAGAAATATCGTACTATACTTTTTCAAGTTCTACAGAATGGATTATATGGTTTATCCAAATCGTTCAATGTGAAAACATAAACACTGACGCGGTGTATTTTCTACTTGGAATTTGTTGAGATTACATCTTTACAATACTACGAAAATAACATTTTTGCTTTAATTTCTAGTGAGCTACATTTATGGATACGTTTGTAGAGAATCACGTAGTGAATTTTTCGAAAGAAAAACTTCAATCTTAATCTATTAATAGAAGAGACGATCTTGAGAAAATAATTAACACAATCCCTACAAGATTAAAATATAAAATACGATGTAGTTGCTGTTGTTTGTTACAAGAAGATATCATAAATGTGTTTTCACCATGTTCAATTTGATCAACTTACGTTATTTTGTTTAGGAGATGCTTGTACTCCGAACCCCTGTTTGAATGGAGGAACTTGTATGGCGAACGGACTTGGGGGATTTGCTTGCCAATGTCCACCGGGTTTTAGTGGTCAACGATGTGAAGATCGTAAGATATTGAAAGATTTATATGTTTAATATTCAATCTCTTGTGATTATATCAGGTGATCCTTGTGCATCTCAACCCTGTATGAATCAAGGTACCTGTATGCGAGATAATGGTGGTTTTCGTTGTGTTTGTCCATCAGGATATTCTGGAAGTCGATGTGAAATTCGTGATGTATGTCAACCAAATCCTTGTATGAATGGAGGAACATGCCGATCTGTAAATGGAAATGGTGGATATCAATGTATATGTCCATCTGGTTATAGTGGTCAACGATGTGAAAATAGTATGCATACGGAATGTTTTTATGCGTTTATAAATCGATGAAAGTTTGTTATATGTACGATATGGTTATCTTTTTTTCTTTTGAATAGGAGATCCATGTGCTCAAAATCCATGTTTAAATGGTGGTCAATGTGTTGCAAATAATTTGGGTGGTTTTACTTGCGTATGTGTTCCACCATATACTGGTCAACGCTGTGAAGATTGTGAGTAGAAAAGAAAAAGATAGACAAAATTGTAAATTTCATATTACATTTTATTCTCGGTTTTTCGTTTTTCTATTTTAGCAAATCCATGTGCTAGTAATCCTTGTGGTAATAATGGTCAATGTATTCAAAGTAATGGCGGATTTTATTGTGAATGTAATCTTGGTTTTTTTGGTAATCGATGTGAACGTAAGTGCCAAAGATTTAATATATAGTTATATATATAATATAAAGCATGATTAAATTTTTGTTAGGTCGTGTTTGTGAACCGAATCCTTGTACGAATGGAGGTACATGTGAGCCTCGTCCTAATGGTGTTTTCCATTGTATTTGTCCACCTGAATATCAAGGTCAACGTTGTGAATTTCGTAAGTATACATTGAATAAGAAGAAACCAAAAATGCTCTAATCATTAATTTCATTTTGGATTTGTTTCTAGGTAAAGTTTGTGAACCAAATCCATGTGTTAATGGAGGAACTTGCAGCCCATATGGTCTTGATACCTATTCTTGTAATTGTCCATTTGGTTACACTGGTCGAAATTGTGAAACGCGTAAGTGTTACGTTTGTAAAATATTCTCATTGAACATATTCTCTTAGGCGATCCATGTATTCCAAATCCATGTAAAAATAACGGTCGTTGTCGACCAAATACTGCCGCTGGTACTTATGTATGTGATTGCCCTGTAAATTTTGTTGGTACAAATTGTGAAACAAGTAAGTTATTTGCATGTATGATTAATTAAAACTATTCAGCTTCAATGTTAATATGCATATAATATGCTGCTTTTCCATTTTTCATCAACAACTTAAACAGGAAATGCTTGTGCAAGTAATCCATGCCAAAATGCTGCAACATGTCGTACCGTGAATGGAAATGCTTATGAGTGTATTTGTGTTACGGGAACGACAGGCATCAATTGTGAAATTCGTGAGCACGCTTTATCAAATGATTAGCTTTCTCCTATATTTAATTAAAATATTACTATATTGTATGAATATAAAATTATTATAGGTGATCCATGCGCAGTAAATGCTTGTCTCAATGGTGGTCAATGTATGCCAAATGGAATGGGTGGATTTACATGTATGTGTCCAAATCCATATACTGGTCAACGATGTGAAGATCGTAAGCAATTACTGCGCATGGATCACCTATAATAATTTTATTTATAAAGGGTTGTTTTTTTTCTTTGTGCTCTGTTAGGTATTGATCCTTGTGCTAGTCAGCCATGTCGAAATGGAGCTACTTGTCAACCTGGAAATGGTAATTTATATCAATGTATTTGTCCACCTGGTTACTCAGGTTTTGATTGTTCAACACGTAAGTTATTTTTCTTTTTTTGTTTAATCAAACAGAAAAGAATGACATGATATACGATAATATAGGTGATCCATGTGCAGATAATCCTTGTTTGAACGGAGGTACTTGTAGGACGAATGGTTTCGGAGGATTTGCTTGTCAATGTCCACCGGGATTTAGTGGTCAACGATGTGAAGATCGTAAGATATTGAAATATTTATATTTTTAATGTTTAATCTCTTGTGGTTATATTAGGTGATCCTTGTGCATCTCAACCCTGTATGAATCAAGGCAGCTGTATGCGAGATAATGGTGGTTTNAGAAGTAAGAATATCTGGATGACATAGTAGATGCTACAAAACTAGTACTCTGACTGCACAAACCAAAGGCGATTATCTACTGAAATATTCATAAAATAGATGTGCAAATTCCGGTCAAGCAGACAAGAATATCAGAAAATCTTCATAAATTAAAAAACATATTTAAAATATAACATCTGCCAATCGCTGAAGAGGATACTAGTGGTTGTATCTAACTTACGTTTGGCATTCGGTAGCTAAACATGCATCATTGAAGTATGATGAACTACTTTTTTCGTTTTAATATTAACAAGTGTACCACTTTTTCTTTTATTATATTGGCCAGTATATGTGTGTAAATACATTTGGTGGGAGTACGTACGAGTGGCTATCATCGTGGCCAAAAAAGCATTCACACCTCGCACCCATATCCTATGCTCGTCCCATCGAATGATAATGATAACTGACAACATATCCATATAGAAAGAAAGTTCCAATTATTGACATGGCATAGTATAAGCAAAAACAAAAAGAAAAGAAAGTTTGACAGGCAAAGCTCAAATCTTATCATTTGTCGATGACGATGGAAACGGATATCCAATAATATGTTAATCATGGATATCGTATTTGCTGACATTGATTTTTCGACATTCAATTCGTAAAACTGCTTGATCACATAGTAAATCTGCGATGATGAAGCTTATGTCTAATTATAACTAAAACACAAACATTTATCGATGGCGATTATTTCTAGAGTTTCAATTCCTAATTTCATCACTTTTTTGCAACGTCTTATAAATTTTTCATTATTCTTCATTGCCTTGTTGTAGAATGCTAATTTTTATTTACCAGAAAGTAGCAACCAAATTTGCATCGAATGATGGGTCATATATCGGAGAGTTGAGCCTCACCCTCTATTCCAATGTATGTCATTTGATTATGTGCGAATATTAGCAAACATTTGCCATATCTCAACTCCTCATTCGTGTCTAACGTCAATTAAACCTAAGTGCAAAGACTTGTAACAAAAAAGTGTGGCATGAACATGAGGTATGAGTGTGAGTGTAGGTGTGGGTGTGGTTTCTGAACGACTCAGAGCAATATCAAAAGCACACTCACATCCTCGCACACGTTTTGGTTAAGTGATTTGTCAAAAGAAACATTGAACTATTCTGGTCTTAATGAGGGCCTCTCAACTTTAATTTCTTCAAGATTATTATATTAACAAGTTTCCAATTATCAGTATATCTACGCTCTTTTAGTTAAATTCTGAAACAATTTACTTGATAGCCAACATAACTGATAGAAACCCGTCTGATCATGAAATTTAATACTCCATCAATTCCGACTCATTTTATTATCTTTAGTTTCTTGATAAGCTTTATCATTTGTTATGTGCTCCTTTCCTCGATCGGTTCGTCTGACATCGCTATTATATTCATCATCTCCATATATTTCATGTTTATTTTAATTTTGTGCAGTTATATCAACCTATTCTCATGAAACTTAAGCTGATCTCAATAGTAGAGATAAAATACAGCATTAGTTTCATCCTTCCTTCAACAATATTTCCGTATCACTCACTAATTTTAGAGATATCAATGCCTTCAGTTTGTACAGTCAGAGTACTAGTTTTGTAGCATCTACTATGTCATCCAGATATTCTTACTTCTGAATCTGGGAAGTGAAGCATCTTTGACAGCTAATTTTATTGTCAGATTATTTGAAACTGTTTTGCGCAATTATTACAAAAATTAAAATAAACATGAAATAGTTTTATGTTCTCAGGAATAAAACAAGCACGTCACTTATTACTTCAATCAGCGTGTGGGAGAAATAAGCCGAGGTGGTTCCAATACTGATGACACAGCTGCACAGATATAGCGAGGTGGATAATCAAAACAAACATTTCCCGTTGAACTCTCAAGATTGCCTGGGATGTCATCAAAAATTTGATAATTGAGATCGAATTTATGGCCACGAAGATAGTTGTTTATCACTATCAATCTACCACCCCATACACTTATACCAGCACGATAATTATTGTATACTGCACTCGTACGTAATTCAATTGGTTCCTTGTTCTTCATTGCTACAAACCCATCACTATAGGTACCGTCTGATTTGGGACGTGCATTTCTAATCAAACTATCACGGACAATAACGACAAATAAATTGGAAATGAAAATATCATCTGTTTCATGTAGGATAAGTTCATTTCCACTGTCTAAAAGGAACGTATCGTGGACCGTTGTAATTAGATCCTTAACTAGACTCCGCAACTCAATAGAAAACCACTGGGCTCGACTAACAGATACTCTAACAATGGAGATATGAGTAAATCGATTGATCACACCATTTCCAATATCTATGAAAGTGCAATTGGAAATTTCGATCATGCCAGAAGGCTTTTCTTGATCATTACGAAAGCCACTAATACCAGTTGCAGTTTTTCCCGTAAAAACTATGCCTTTTACTTGACCACCACCACCATTTCGATGTAAAATAGCAATGTTGTTTAACAACGGTTGAAATTCAACAACTTGATCCAAGTTTTGAGCAATTATAGAAACGAACTTGTATTCAATGACAAGTGATTCTGTGTAGATACCCGGTTTAATCAATATTGTTGTATGATCAGTCACAGAGTTAATTGTTTGTTGTACTTTTTGTTTATTGTAAGTTGATGAATAAATAATGACAGCATCGTCACTACTGGCAGTCGAATAAAATTAAATAAAACCGAATAGAAATACCAAGATCTGCATCTGAAATACATGTGTGAATAAATAAATGGATGTGATTATGCATCCATATATGGTGGAAAACGAGACGAGCTATCGTCCATATCCAGTAAACGAACACTCAGGGGAAGCAGAGCAAAGAAGTGACATGACATAAGCGAGAGGTATACAGTGGTGAAAAATTTGTACAATTAACAAAAAAACACTCATTTTATGAATTTTTCATACTTTCACAAAATTCGATGATAACATTAATATTTCGAAGATAGAATTCATTGACTGGAAATATGCAATGCTTCGAGTCGATGCACAAATTGATTGTTTGAACGCGCGACATCGACAGAAATCAAGACAGTGAAGAAAATAGAGGTTGCATCCGATGAAATTCTTTCTCATCATTTTGCTCATTGAAAACTGATCATACAATCATAGCAGAATGATTAGCAACGGCCAGTATCATGCTGAAGGCAGGAGTGTAGATATATGAAGAGAGAAAATAAAAAACTGTTGTGTTTGAGATAAGAGTAGAAAAAAATTGATACTTCTATTAGTTGAGATCGAAAGAGGTTGAACCAAAACGTAGCAGGAGTAGAGCAGCGGAAAATTGTATTCATTTTATACTTTATTTTCTTGAAGAACAACTTGATCAGAAAATCAACAATACTTGTTTGACAACCTAATATTGTGGTGGAGAAAGTGACATCATTGTTTTGTGATGTGTTTGAATAAAGTTTACAGAGAATCTAAGAATCACGTTTGGTTTCTAGAATAAGAATGTTGATGACAACAACCATCACTGAACTGTTGATAACAAAATTTAAACACACAGAAACATTTCACTATAAATAGTATGCTTTCACGAGGCGCGAGATATTTCGAATTATAGATAGTGCTCTCAGATATTTCAAGCATTTTAATATCTGTGAAGTAGATTTAAATTCGATTTTTCCAATGTACGTTCTTTCATCGTGCACGATCACAAATTTTTCTTGTTAAAAGGCTCAGAATCATATACACATATTCCCTAAGTAACTATTCGATTTTCACGCACACATATATTTTTCGTTTACTACAGAATAAAAGATTAGTGAGCTTCTAATTTATTTTGCAAGTCAAAAGTTAGAAAGTGGACTTCAATTGAGACCAAATTGTTTTTTTGTGCTATAGCTATGCTTTCATTAGTTGAGCAGTATAGAAGCGTTCCATAATTGATAAAGTGGAATTTTCAAACTATGTGACCAGTTTCAGGTTATCATAATAGTTTTTATAGAACCAAAAGTTTACTGTCAGTTTTATCTCGGCCCTATATTTTTCAATAGACAAAATAATGCGTTCTTTACACTACTTTTCACATTGACATGCTTATTTATCTTCACTAAAGCCCAAGAATTGACATATCATCTCTAAGCTTGTTGATCGTACCAATGAAAACGAAGTGTTTTTGCACTTATCAGTTTATAGGAATAAGGAGTCGATGTGTGTTTGTGATATTTTCTGAGTCTGCTGTGCGTATATACTATGAATGCAAGGGCTTAAAATTCGTTGCTACTGGGAAGAGATTCTTGCTAAATATCAGAGACAATATTTTTAACACTACTATACATTAATTCAGTGAACTATATTGTCTTCCAATATATCCTACATTTTTTTTGACGAGTGAATGATTTTTTTTACCATCACTCATCCTTGACTGATGATTACTCATCACATAAATATAGATATAGCGTTATTCAAGATGCATCATATCAACAAAGAGGATATTTTTAGAGTGAAAAACAACTGCGTATTAATGCCTTAAATTTGGATCATTCATTACTATGACTCTACATGACTGTTTATCATCTCCACGTGTATTTGATTACTAACTAAAGCGAAAATAATTCAAAAACGAACACAAACCAATAATATACAGGTGCGAATGAAGAACACTTGCTGTGCTTTTATATTTCAAACGTCATATTCGATATAGAAAGTGAGCAAAAACAAGGATGTGGGTTGAAAGCGACAAAGAACCCGCACTCACACCCAAAACTATATTTCATTTTTAAGGGTATCCCCTCCTATTTTTGGCCAAAAGGTCGATTTCAAGCCGCCCATATGTCATGACAGTCTCAAGTACTTTCTGGAATCATAGACATCATTCGACTCAAACTAATTTACTGTTCGAGAGTTATTGAATTAAAAAATTTTTTTTAGAGTGATTATCGAGAATTTTTTTTCTGCCATTCTGCTTAGCATAATACACAAGTTTTCTATACCTTTCCTGCTTACAACTCTCTAATTTTGTCCGATTGGGCTGAAATT